TACTACAGTTTTGAAATTTAGAATTTGGAAATAAAGGCGTTTTAATCAATTGCTTTCTACTAGTTAAAAAGTTAACTCTGCTTTCAAAAGTAATATCAATAAGAAAAGGACATTACAGAATAAAATTATAAGAGAAAATTAATAATGATGACTTGAACACCCCTTGGCACATAATTAATATTAGTGTAAACCATTTTAAATGAAACATATTGACTCAATAGTCTGTGTTTGGCAACACTGTGAATAGATTAGTTCAGTTAATAGCTGTTGGTACTTGAGAATAAGGCTGTCTGTTTAAATTTCTTCTAAACAATATTATTTTGACCAAGTCAAATAGACTTTTGCTGAATTTTAGTCTGTATTAAAAAACTTAAAATATATATATTGAAATTTGAAGCTGAATTTGTTAAAGGAAAATAATTGCTATTTTGTCATTGGAGACAGGATTCACAAAGATGCATTCGGTAATAATTCAAGCCTTTTAAGATTCTTTTCCTAGGAAATAGCAATAAGCAGACAAACTGCTCCTCTGCATGAATATCTTTTGATTTAAAACTGGTATGATGCTCATTAAAATAACTGAAAGAATTACATACAATTAGTGAGCTAGTTATGCCTAAGAAGCAGACACTGGCTCTTCACTTACTTGGCATACTACTTAAATCCCAAACTTCGGCTATTTTTAAAAGATGGTATACTATATATGGAGATAAATTAAATATTTAGAGATAACTAATCAGTAGAACTAAAACTGCATCCTTCAATACCCCAAGGACCAATAAGACACCAAAGTTCAAAGATATGGCTCAGAATACTGATTTTCTAAGAGCATCCGACTGCAGAAGAACAGATGGTCTGTGAACAATAAAGATTCTAAAGAAATACACGTTTCAGCATGACATATAAAGCATGTGGGCTGAAATGATAAGAAGCATATAGGAAAACTAATTAATCATTGTCACCAACAAAATAACACATAGAGAGGCTCAGGAGGTTTCTGGTAAGCCAAAAGTGGGCAACTTCATTTCTAACAACTGGATAACAATTGAGCACAGCAGATATTTGACACAGTTGTTTCCAACAATGTTTAAAAACTACAGGCTTCCATTATGGTTATACGACACTGCGCCTTTTACTTGTGTTTCTGTTCACATGTTCATTTCATCTAAGGCTAGTAAGTACCTATATTACAGAAATCAATGTGGTATAACTAAATTGAATGCAAATTTTAATCCTTTGGTAAGAAATACCATAGATGAAATCCACAAACTCATTATAGCAGACTGGTTAAATGCAGACTCTGGCACCAAACTGCCTGCCTGTGGTTAATCGTGGGTTACTTACTTAACTTTTCTCTCCTTCAGTCTCCTCATTTATTAAACAGAAGGTATTAATAAGACCTTATTATTCAGGTTGCTATGAAGACTGAACTGGTTAACAGTGATAAAGAGCTCAGAATAGTGCCTGCACGTCACAGGTACTACATAAGTGTTAAATACATGAATAAGAAGGCTTTTTAAACCATCTGATTTTCTGCCCTACAGTTAGGGAGATACCACACTCTCCGGGACTAAGAGAATAGACACAGGCAAAAAAACAATGCAGGTTATTTTAATAGTTTGTGTTATCTTCCTCCCCACTATGTCCTACCACCTGAACTAGATTACCTCTTAGTTTCTTCTAGTTAAAAGAAAAAGATCATTTATCTTATTGGAAACAAACAAAATTCCCTTTTCTGACACTCTGTTTAAAAAGAACAGCCTTTTTCTTTAACTTTATAAAATTAAGTTTGATTAGAAGCTTAGTTATCCTCCAGTAGATTACAGGTCCCAAGAAATCACTCAATCATTCTTACTTCAGCCTTCGCTTAGTCAAAGCAAAAGTTTAATTGTTGTTGACTAAGTGATGAATTTCTTTAAAAGAAATCAATCGTATGGATTATCGTTTCGAACTCCAGGAAGGTAAACGTTAAATCTCAATTAATATAAATTTCTACACCTAACATGCCATTAAACCTCCCCTAGTGCAATTACAACTATTGGTTTTTTAAAGAGACTTAAGCACTGAAATGGAATTGACATTTGGACCAGGGAGAAATGGAAGAAAACATGAAGATAGAAATCCAGGGGCAGGGGACAAAAGGGGTTCCCAGAATCTCTGCCCAGTTTCCTAAAGAAATGGGTTTAGTAGCTATGAACATCCTGCACAAAAAGTGCCAGGATCTGTGAACAAACTTAAATCTGTGAATAGCAGGTTGGTGATGTGTCAAAGTTCCTGGTGATGTGTCAAAAATTCCACCAGGGTAGAATTTTTTTTTTAATGCCATGAGGGAAAGGTTGCATGCATGTACTTATGTACTTGCCCTTCTGATAGTTTTTAACACAACAGTTAATCTTGAGTCCTAACTTTCTGGATCACTTAAGATAGAAATGCTGCCAAGGAAAATGCATACATTCATTTTGAAAATCATCACGAATTAAATGCACCTCCCTTTGAAATATGGACTGCAAATTTTTTCCCCCAATGGCATCATATGAGGGTCACAACTTGAAATATCTGGTAATGGATGTCGATAACAAACAATAATGGTTGCTACCTTGATTATGAAAGGAAGCATTAAAAGACCAATCTATTGCTCTACTCCTTCCAAATTAGCTATGAGTTTGTACCACCTAAAGCTCAGAAAATAGATTTCCTTTAGGAGAGGGATTCCTGGGCTTGGGGCAGCTGCTGCCATGTGAATGGTTCTGCCTTTGGGTGGCTTGGAATTGATGGTTAGGCTGAAAGTATACAGGAAATCATTATCAATAGTATAGAATCCAGACTTGCACTTTTTATACACAAAAAATATTCTTTTTCATTACACTAACAGCAAGTTTAACTCTGGTTTTCTACTAAACAACTTATTAGCCTAGTTAGAATAATGAATGAAGACAATATTTATTAGAAAAAAAGTTACTTTCATGACTTAAAAACTCATGCCTACCTATATATTCTTTTTTTGATGAAGAGCTCAGCCTTGCGTTTCTCTGTCACTCCCTCAACACCCAGGGTCCTGTTCCTCACCCCAGGACTCAACACATGCTCATCTCAGGAATTGCCCTCCCTGCTTATCTCCTTGGCCCTTTAAACCAGATAAAGTCTACCCTCCTAACTTGGCTTGTCCTGAGAGTTGAATTCAAAGAGACCTGCATTTACTCCTGCCTCTTTAGGCATCATGGCAACATGAATGTTTTTACAATGGAAGCTGCCTCACAGGGGCTGTGCCTGCTGCAGGGCTGTCCCTTAAGTTCTGAGGGTGGTCTTCCAACTGCATTTTAAAAAATTATTCCTTTCCTCTACCCTCAACTCACTCACTTAAAAAACAAAAACAAAACAAGAAAAGAAAAACCTTTTTCTTCCTTTCACAAAACCAAACCAAATTAATAAAAACAAAAACTTACTTCCAAACAAAGCTTACACATTTAAAACCAACGTTACCGTAGCTGAGTAGGTCTTTCATAACCATTTCCTCATTCCAAACCACATCATCTATAAACCCAATAAAACAGATTTTACTAGCTTGTTTTTTCCTTCACCCTTTTCCAATTTACACATGACCAAATAAATTAGGAAACGTGATATGCAGAATTAATTTCAAATTTTTAATTCAACTCTATTTCCTATTATTTATTTTCTTTTAGGACTAGTCTAAGAGCTTTCCAGAACAATTGTCCTATAACATAGTGTCCAACTTCTAATGCCTCAAAAGGCAAACAAACTCAAAATACTTATGAAATATAAATTTTATAATGAGCTGGACAACCAAGTTTTTAAAAACTTGACAATTTCCTCCACGCAGATTAAATATATGTGTAGTTTTATATAATTATATAGAAAATTGTTTTCCAGCTTTATTTAGTGATATGAGGATGTTGCTTGAAATCTTGGATTATACATTAGGCTTTCTTGGCTATTCTCCTTGTATAGGACAGGACTTTACATGGAGAACCCTCAAATATTTTATTCACAGACTTTAAAACACGGTAACAGTGGTTTATAAATAAGTAAACTTCTTAACACACTACATTCTCTCCTAAGCTAGGAAAGTAATATCGGCCATATCAGATCCTTGGTGTTCAAAGTTAAAACAAGTACTGTTTCTTAACAATGGTTTCATCTAAAAATTACTAAAATCACAAGCTAATGTAGAAACATTTGGACATACAAGTAACCAAAATCTAGTCTTACCACCACCACCTCAGATTATAAGGAATTATTAAAAAGCAAACATTTTGTAAAACATAAACATATTGAATACAGAGGATGATATAGACACAAACAATTGTTTCATGGTAAAGTGAGAAGTAGCTATGCTGATTAATATAAATTTTAAAATAATGAAATAGGATTCAGATATAATTTTCCTCAGACTGAAAAGGTATTAACGACCTACATACTCTAGTTATAGGGCCAGATGGATATGTTACATGAAATTTAGAAAATGGATAAGAAATTAAGACCTACAGTTAGGTAAACACTATGGTGTGCATTCGATCTTCTAAAGCACATCAAATCAGGTTAACGAAACACAACCTCATCTAAACAGGAAGCCCAAATTTAAGAGTTTGTCAAAAAATTGTGTAACAAAAGAAAACCGGTAAGACCAAGAAAGTCACCCTATATATATTTTTTATTTGAAAAAGTCTTTCTCCACATTTTTAATGGGTTACTTATAATTTTAACTGATGATATTTTCCTGTCACAAAAACCTTTAAGAGTTACCTAATCTATTTTTCCTAATTAGGAATTTTCCCACTAGGGATACCAGGCCTTACGGGTGCTAAAGCTTCAGCTTATTCACTTCATTAGTGGCCTCTTTAGGACTTTTCTGAAAGAATTCTCTGGGGGTGGGGAGAGTGTTTTATTTGGTCTGATTTCAAAAACTGAGATTTGTTTAAAAAAAGAAATGGCACAATCCAGTGAATAGGGTAACGGCGCCACCAGAGGATGTGTCTTACCATACAGGTATCCAGATCTTCCAAACGCTCTATCTCTGTTAGCTCCTCCACTGTGATGATGGAACGTTTAACTGGCTTCTCCTCAGTCAGCTCAATCTCTAAGGATTCTTGTTGAGGAAGGGTCTTGCCACGTCTGCTGAAATGGTCAGCCTAGAAGGTCAAGACGCATATGAGGGGAAATTAAAGCACAGAGACCAGAAGCGCTGGTTAGCTGGATTTCTGAAGACATCTTCCACAAGATGGCGCAGTGGAGCACAATGTTGACAAGTGATAAGGACAATTCTTAATACATGAACAGTACAGTAACTTACCTCTTTCATTATCTTTCTTTGGAATCAGAGTGTTTTAAGCAATAAATTATAAATCTCTTTTAGTAAATGAAGAGACAACTTAGTAGTGTTTTTATTAATTTTGATATTTCCTCTGAAGAAATTTCCTTCTATATCTAGTACTAAAAAGTATCTGAGAGCAATAAATTCCAACTTTCATTATTTTTAAAGGAATGAAAGGAAGGAAATTACTAGCAAAACTTTAATTACTGCTAGCTTTCATTGTTTTCATATAATGAATACCATATTTGATATGATTTCTTAATTTCCAGTGTTACACTTTAGGTAAACATAACAAATTAAATAAGAGGTAGAATAAACTTAGCTGAAATTAATAAACTTCAGTGCTGAGCTGATCTGACACCAGAAACTTTGATTTAATTCTGAAACACTGAAAACCAGTTGGTAAGTCTATGGAAACTTTGAGAACGCTTACAAACTTAAGTTAGTGAAAATGGTATCTGAAAGTCATTGAAAACAAGGTTTCATTTTGAAGATAGTATTTCCTTCATATGGGACTTAATCTCTTTCCTTACAATCTATATCAGCAGTACTAATGTTAAAATGAAGTGCAAACCAAAAGTGCATTCAGCAAATTTTTTCTCAATTAAAAAAGTCAATACTTTCTGAGTAAATTCTTTAAGAAAAAACAAATGCAAAAAAGTGAAAAATTCAAACCTTCAGTGTAGTTCTCACATGAAGATTTCTGTTAGTATAATATGTAGTATTTGTGTCATAAGTAAGCATTTTAAGGCCATTCCTGGAGCTATGGGTTATCAATAAACTTTCTAAAAAAAAGCTTATTTTAAAAGGATGCTCTAGGCCAGGTGCAGTGGCTCGCACCTGTAATCCCAGCACTTTGAGAGGCTGAGGCAGGTGGATCACTTGAGGTCAGGAGATCAAGAAAGGATTTCACATGGTGAAACCTCATCTCTACTAAAAATACAAAAATTAGTCAGGTGTGGTGGCGCACACCTGTCATCCCAGCTACTCCGGAGGCTGAGGCAGGAGAATTGCTTGAACCTAGGGGCGGAGGTTGCAGTGAGCCAAGATCGTACCACTGCACTCCGGCCTGGGCGACAGAGCAAGACTCCCATCTCGAATGAATGAATGGATACTCTATTGCTTTTGTTTGTACTTATTTACAAAAAAGAAAAGGCTGAATTAGGAGCTCTAAACAATCATGTAGCTCTTTACTGTGCCAGGAAATAGAAAACAGTGTTTCTTACATTCAATGTGGTGATAAACTGGTTTTTTATATTTCCAATTTAGCACAAAACAATTTACTGTTAAAATACAATAAAAAGAAAAATCAGAAAAATAACATGTGTTTGGAGACTCTATCTTTTTTTGGTGCTATAACGAAAAAACACATTTTTTCATATGCACTGATATTGGAAGCTCAAGAAGTTTTTGGATGCTTCCTCTGGGGAACCATCCATTGGTGGGCCACCTCTGGTCCACAGGCAGCACTTGAATCGTGCTATTAGGATGTCTGTCTTGTCTTTCAGATTTTAGAAGGCAGTCGTGCACATTTTTCTCAAATGAATTTTTCAAAAACATGCATTTTGTCTGCTTCATGTAGAAGAAGCTGTTGCTACTCCTCCCATTTTAGGATTCTCTAGTGTCAACCAATAATTCAATACCATGAAACTGGCATCTCCATCCCACACAGTTAAGAAAACATTGAAGAGTTATTTTTCTTGAAGGAAACATTGCTATAACTTTCCTGGGAGACTTCCACTGCATCATATTGAGACATAAGATATAACCAGTTATAAAAGCTTCATCTGTACTTCAGAGAACTTCCTCAAGTTTGTGAAACATTGAGTTTCTGACACATTTTTTCGTATGCACTGATACTGGAAGTAAAGTCCCCTACCTAATCATGCTGCTATAAAGACACATGCACACGTATGTTTATTGCGGCACTATTCACAATAGCAAAGACTTGGAATCAACCCAAATGTCCATCAGTGATAGATTGGATTAAGAAAATGTGGCACATATACACCATGGAATACTATGCAGCTATAAAAAAGGATGAGTTTGTGTCCTTTGTAGGGACATGGATGCAGCTGGAAACCATCATTCTCAGCAAACTATCGCAAGAACAGAAAACCAAACACCGCATGTTCTCACTCATAGGTGGGAACTGAACAATGAGATCACTTGGACTCGGGAAGGGGAACATCACTCGCCGGGGCCTATCACGGGGAGGGGGGAGGGGGGAGGGATTGCATTGGGAGTTATACCTGATGTAAATGATGAGTTGATGGGTGCTGAAGAGCTGATGGGTGCAGCACACCAACATGGCACAAGTATACATATGTAACAAACCTGCACGTTATGCACATGTACCCTAGAACTTAAAGTATTAAAAAAAAAAAAAAAGGCACAATCCAGTGCCATTTTCTAGAGACAGTGCCAGTCTCTAGATGAAGAAAATATATATTTTTTTACCTTGGTTATATCCAAGGCACCTGTTGGCCCGTCAGCAACTATCCATCACTAAATTATGCCCATTTTGTTCTTGCACTTTCTTTATTCAAATATTTTTATTTTCTACCATATTTTTAGAATAGTCCATTATCAGATAATCATATCAGCAACAAATGAGCAAAGATACATTAAAATGTTAATTTTAGACCTCAGTCTCAACATTTCTTCCCCAAACTTTTGACCTTCAGTATAAATGAACAATAAGATTTCTGGATATAATCAGTTCTGCTTTCCCTTATCATTCTCTCTGGAGAAGTTCTAACATGCTCCAGAATGGCTAGAAGCAACATAGAAGAGAAAGGAGGAAAATCAAGATCACAAACCATAAAGCTGTAATAGTGTGAAAGAAATCACATTCCCACACCGGAAGTCATCTTGCATCACAGCAGAGATGAAACAGGAGGTCCTGCTCAAGATGTGCACAGCACTCACCAGTTTATGATGGCAATGTGACAGTGCATCCAGGATTTCGTCCACAATTCGATCAGACAGGAAGGAGGCCACTGTCAACTTTACTTCACTATGTGAAAATCAAAAGGACAGAGTATTATTTTAATTTGTGCAAGGGGGGAAAAAATCATCCATCCTTGCTGCTATAGTGATAAGGTCAATTGTGATTCCATTTCTGTCTTTGAAAGTAGAATATAAGAATGTGTGAACAGGACTAAGGATTTCCAAAAATAAACCTTAAACACTGCCATAAACACACAAGTAATAGACTTTCTTTACCAATTTCAACCTGCCTCTGCAATTTCAAAACTCAAGATTTAATGGTAGAAATGAAAAACATCTGGATAAAGACAAAGTTAATGGGAACCGTATGTACCATGTGGTGAGGAACAATTCATCCATTGACATAAAGGAAAACAAACCTGGGCTGGAGTAAATTAAGAAAGTCTAGCCTGGTTGTTAAGTCTTAGTTACTGCTTTAGTATGCATATCACTCACCCTTTTAAAAAACTTTTCACCAATCAAATGATACCATAACTGCGTCTGCTCTGACTGACCATCTTACTTTGAATATTTACAAAATCATCTACGCTTATCTTTTATGAAGACAGGTTACTGAAATTTGCAGTTCTGGTGCCTGTTGCCTGACCTCAGAAAGTTGTCTACACAGCAGAAAGTGGCTTGTTGTTTTTACTAATAAACAGACCCAGCCACAAAGAGTCTGTCAGATGGCTGGTATTTTTGTTTGCATTTTTGCAATTTGGTATTCCCAAGAATTCCACTTTTATGTGTGTTCTTGGTCTGAATATCTTAATGCACATATGTACAAATGTACATTAAGCACAATATATTTAAAGGTAAATATGTGAGAGAAATACATACCTATATTCCAACATTGTCTCATAAGCTAACGTTGAAAAGATATTCGTGTAACACGGAAAAAATCTTGCCAACCTAATGGCAATAATTTGCATGGAAATTTCTCTGCCTGGGGAGATTTTTGAATAGAAGTACTTTTTACTTACAGTAAAAATTATCTTAAGCTAAAGATAAAAAATACGTTTAATTTCTGCCCCTGAAACAAGGTATCACTAGCTATTTGCTTTATCTGATACTTTCCTGTTCCCCAGAGGTGTCTACTGATACAAGATTCACCCAGGTCTCATATTAAAAATACAGGTTACTGGTCCCACTCCAAACTCTCAGAGGGACCTGAAAATCTAATTTTAAGTACTTCCTCTGATTCTTTTTAGGCATGTTTAGAAATTATACTTCCTCATAAAACTATAGGTTCAATAGCTTCTCCTTCTCTCTGAAAGTGGGTAGGAGTGGTTTATCTATTTCAAATTGTAGCACCAAAAAAGATAGAGTCTTAAAAATGCAATTATTTTTTAATATCTCAGGATCGTTCTATTATTTTGCTATTGGATACTATGCTTCCTTACTGGTTAAGCTTCCAGTCTGCAAAGCTTTTAGAGGAAAAGAGTCGACTTAACCTCCCCATGCAAACGTGCATATTATATGAATGTATACATACATGCATGTGTAGGTGTAAATATTTTCCTTCTATCAATGTTCAGTATAATGCATTATAAAAAGCCAAGTAAGGAGTTAATGGACATAAAATTGATTCATTGATGTGTGTTCTATACTGCTGTTCAACTTTCAGAATCTGCCTGTTTTCAAAGGAAATGATCATATTTGACAGAATTTGATACTCAAATAAAGCTATCAGAATAGGATCTATTTGTGGCTGAAACCATTATTATGAAAGAATAGTAGCCAATATATTATTTTCTCCTTAATGTTTAGGCATCTCCAACAAAAAAAATTCTGAAACCACCAGTTATAAGAAAATGTAAGCACACCTAGTGAAGGGCTAGAGTTTATAAGGTCACTAATTTATGGGGTCCTATAAACCCTCTATAAGTCTTTTCTAAAATTTCTCAAGTCCTTCCAATTGCCTTACAGTTCAGCTGAGTAGGATTTAGGTGCTTTAGTTAAACAAAACAAACAAACAAACAAACAAAAACAAGACCTGAGATTATTCAGTTATTGCAGAATTTCTAAATCCTCAAAGTTCTATAATCTGGATTTAAAGTCATCAGCCTTTGATATCTAGTTAACGACAATATAATTTGGGGCTTGTTTTGTTTTTGACTCATTTTTCTCATGGACTGTCACTTAGCTATATCATTGTGTGTTAGTACCACCCCCAGCTCTATAGACAGGAGCTATTATTTCTGCTACATCTAAATATCTTTATCAATATTCAAAAATGGTTAAAATGGAAAATTAAAAAATGTTTCTGAACTTAGTTTTTAGTCATCTGATTCCCCAACTAAGAAACATTATGAGAATTAGCTGAGCTGTAATGTAATATTGGTGATGGACCAAGAGTCTCTATGTAAAAATTCAGAAAAGTTTGCCAGTAATCACAGCTTCTAAATATTTATATCTTGTCATATTTTTCAAACTTTTTCAAACAGAAATCTAGGTAAACACTGCAAAGACACCATTAATACACACATAGTATTACGGACCCACCAAAATAACCCAGAAGGAAAACATGCTAAGGTCAAAGTGGGCCTCTGCCTATTTATAGGCTGTGCATTTGTTCACAGTTTATGGTGGTAAAAAGCAAACTGATCTCAATCTTCAAGCTAGTGACTTATAAAGGTGAAAGATAAACTTCAGAAACAGAAAACAGGGATTACAAACATGTACCCCCCTCTTAAATATAAAACCCTTAAACAGAGCAGATAATTGTATGTCCTTAAGTAATGCAGGCATTTACGTGATCATCTTATTTTGGAAATGTATAAAACCTATGCATTTATGCACAGTTATATTTATATACAGTTTCTGCCTATTAAACATGTCTAAACATATTATATATGGATACAGCCAACAATAACCCTCTTTACAGCTGCCTCAACTGCGTTTACAGAAATTGCAGCTCCTAGGTTTATTAACATTATAAACCTACCTAATTTTGTTAAGGATATCAATTCCAGACTGCTCCAACAGGACATTTTTAACAAAGGTACGTGGAATAGAAATCTTTTCGGTGCTGGCATGAATCAAGTCTTGTCGAATGTGGGCTTTTTTCATCACATTGGGACAAAGATTCTCAGCAGCATCAACCATGGACTCAAGCAACGCCTGCAATGCAGCACAAGTGAAGGGAAGAGATGATGACACTGCACCAGAGACGCCCGCCATAAAACTGAAAGGTGGTAATATATGATACGGAGCCCTCAGAGAACAGGAGCACGACAGAGACCCAGAGCACAACCAAGAATTCTGAGCTGCCCCGGGGTGACTTGTGCCTGTTGGATGATCATTGATCTCTGGTAATCACTTTAAATCAGACACTTGGCAGAACCAAGCAAGCTTCACGCTGGCATCTGAAGTGTTATGGTGTGTCAGCTGTATTTAACACAAAGCCATTAAGGAGAAGATTAAAAAATACAAACATCAAGCCTTTATACACACCCTTACCACAAGAAATTGTTTTCCCTGGTACTAGAAAATAAAGTCACAGGCAACCCTAGCAAACATATCATATTTGAATGCTTCTGAGATTCTACAAATCACAGAAACCCCAAATTAGGGTGAACCATTCAATTGCTCTATCAAAACAGCAGTAGCAGAAAAATCACAGAAACTACTGCCAATTTTACTCTTTTAAAAGAAAAGCTTTAGTGTTAGGTAAGATATTAATTATTATGACAACAATAAACAACATGAAAAATAACAGACAAAAACATCAACAGCACTTTATAGACAGCATTAATAATAACAGTTGAAAGATATTCATATAGCACTTTAGAGTTTGAAAAATGTTCTGCACATTTTATCCTTCCAACATCTGTGAAGATGGGAAGGGCAGTTATTCATGTGATCACCATTTTACAGTTGAAGAATGTGAGCTAAGGGAAGTTAAATGATTTGTCTGAGATGGGTGATACGGTTGGAAGGATATGGAAAGGGCATCAGCGTAGGTCAGATCTAAATTTGAAATCTAGCTGAGTGACATTGGACAAAGTTACTAAGTTACTAAGTGGTGCAGTGGTGGCGTGATCTCGGCTCACTGCAACCTACACCTCCCGGGTTCAAGCGATTCTTCTGCCTCAGCCTCCTGAGTAGCTGGGATTACAAGCACCTGCCACCACATCCGGCTAATTTTTTTGTATTTTTTTTTAGTAGAGATGGGGTTTTGCCATATTGGCTAGGCTGGTCTCGAACTCCTGACCTCAGGTGATCCACCTGCCTCAGCTTCCCAAAGTGCTGGGAGTACAAACATGAGCCACCATACCAGGCTCTCTGTTACTATTTTAAATGGTGACTATTTTTAATGACATTTTCTAACTAGTTGTTGCTGACATATAGAAACACAATTATATTTATATTTATTTATTTATTTATTTATTTGAGACAGGATCTCATTCTGCCACCCAGATTTGTATGTGTGCAGTGGTGCAATCATAGCTCACTCCCACCTTGCTGGGACTACAGGCACGGACCACCATGTCCAGCTAATTTTTAAAATTTTTGTAGAGATGAGGTCTCACTGTGTTGCCCAGGCTGGCCTCAAACTCCTGGCTCAAGTGATCTTCCAGCCTCAGCCTCCCAAAGTGCTGGGATTACAGGTGTGAGCCACTGTGCCTGGCATCATTTTTTACATATTGTTCTACATCTAGAAACCTCACACAAATTCAATAACTTACCTGCAGATTCTTTTGGGTTTTCTATGTAGGACATCATAAAATCTGCAAATTCTGATAATTTTTCTACCTTTTTAATTCTTACATTTCTCATTTCTTTTGCTTATCATATTGCACTGGCTAAGACCTTCAGTATAAAGCTGAATAGAAATGATGAAATAAACATCTTTGCCTTATTCCTGACTTTAAAGGAAGTATTTCCCCCATTTAAAAAAAAAAAATCTAGACCTAGCAAAAATTGGAAAAAATAGGACGAAAAACATCTATTACCCTAACTCTTAAAATTCACCAGTTGCTAATGATTTGCAATATTTGTTTCTCCCTCCCTCTGAAACACCTGAAAGCATGTAGGTATCATGACCCTCCCTACTAACTTTTTAAGTTATCCATTAATAGCTCATTAGTTTTCAGCCTCTCCTCACTTCCGATATTGGTACTTAAAATTATGTATTTCACCCTAAGTACTGGTTTAGTTGCCTCCTACAGGTTCTCATATTACTATTTACATTACTGTTCAATTCCTTATATCCTCTGATTTAAATTATGTCCTCCTCTTTGACCCATGAGTTAGAAGTAATTTTTAAATTTATAAACATGTGGGGTCTTTTTTTTAGCTATCTTTTGTTATTAATTTGTAACTTATTTGAATTGAGACGAGAAAATATGGTCTCTGAAATTGTGCAGATGACCTTAATGACTTCATGGGCATTTTTCATAAATATTCTACGGACACCTGAAAAAAATTTCACATTCTCCTTTTGTTGTGCACTGATTGAATAGTTGCATTAGATTGCAATTGAGATTTCTGTTGTTCAAATCTTCGTCATCGTTTTACTTGATCTATCAGTTATGGGAAGTTATTTTAAAAGATCTCTACCACAATGGCAAATTCGTCCATTTTTCTTTGCAATTTTGTCCACTTATTCATTTATTTATATACGAAGCCATATGATTAGATGCTTACACACTTGAAATTGTTACATATTTCTGGAAAACTGGACCATTTGTCATTATTCACGGACCTGTTTCTCTCTGGTGATACCTCTTCTATGGCCATTTGGGTGGGATCAATTCTTCTGGCTTGGAACTCAACCTTGTATGATATTTAGGATCACTGTCACCTGCCCATGTCAGTCACTATGACACCAAAAATAACCCAATATTTCTTAATGCTCTTCTAGAAATGCAGCGTAACTTCTCGTTTAGTGCCTCTGTTTTAGTGATTATACTAGGAATTTTAACATGCGTATTTTACTTCATGTGTAAAGCAACACAGTCCAATAGAACTTTGAGATGATAGGAATATCTGTGCTGTCCAATAAGGGAGGCAACAGCCACATGTGGCTACTGAGCTCTTGAAATGTACATAGTGCAACTGAGAAACTGAATTTTAAATTTTGTTTAATTGTAATTTTAATGGCTACATGTGGTTAATGCGTTAACACATTGGACAATGCAATTCTAATGCTGAATTCTTAACACTTCTCCAGAATAAAACTAAGACCTTGGATTGCTTTAACTGACTTTCTACTAACTTATACACTCACTTTCAGTATTTGCTTTTTAAAATTTTACAGCACGTTAGACATTAATGTCATTGTTTCATGTAATGTTACCATTTCCTCATATTTGGACCTTCCTGGCTCATTAGTCTTTCACAATTGTAGCTCAGACTACATTTTTAGATAATTTTTCTTTGTCCTAAAGTATATCCTTTAGTGTTTGGTGTGTGTGTGTGTGTGTGTGTGTAGCCCAGTGACAGTAAATGATCTCAGTTTTTGAAGTGATGAAAATGCTTTCACCTTCATTTGTAAAAACCAGGTCCATTGAGTATATAATTCTAGATTGCTATGTTATGTATTCTCTAAAGTTTAAAGATACTATTTCATTGTCTTCTGGATTCCATTAACTATTGAGAAGTGAGCTGTCAGTCTTAATATTGGTCTTTTTTTAAGTAATAAAAAAAGAGCCTCTCCCTGCCTGCCCCCAACCACCAACTCTGGCCTCCTTTCAAGATCTTTATCTTCAGCGCTCTTCACTTTTTATTACAACGATTCTAGATGTAAGTTTGCTTTTATCTATCCTGCTTTAGGTTTCACTGCGCTTCCTGCATCAGAAGATTCTGGTCTTTAATCCATCTCTGAAATTCTCAGCTGTCATCTCTTCAAATGTTGCCTTCCCCTAGTCTCTGTTTTCTTTTCTGGGGGGAAATCTAAATTAGGCTTATGTTAAATTTCTCATTCTATCCATATTTCCTAACTTTTTTTATATAGCTTTCATTTTGTTAGTCTCCCTGTTTTACTACCTTCAGACAACTTGCAGTGAACAGGCCCTGTTTTTGAAATACGATAATCCAATTTTGTTTTGATGTATCTCTAATGACAGTTATGAGGGTCTATATTTCTTAACTGAAAAAATAACTAATGGTACTTAGGAAACCTGTTTAATATTTGTAAAATAAATTGGATTAATATCCTTAACATGGCAGCTATGCTCTTCTCTTCTTGCAGTGAGCCAATGACTTGTAATTCATTACCAGCAAATACAACTTCCATAGTAAAATGCCCTGAAATCTTCCTTTCTTTTGCTTTGGAAAATATAAAGTCTAGAAAGAAGAAAACTCAGAGAACTCTTCTGGCTAAACTGAGTTAATAGTTGACAAAATGCCACCTAAATCCCTCAGGCCTCATATCCTAAGTAAAGCTGAAATTTACCAGTCAAGTATTTTACCATTTAAGCCCTGAACGAAATTAAGAATTTCCTAGGCCAACACAAATACCCTAGACTTTAAGTCCAGAAGGGAGAAATGAATGTTTCCTTATGTTAAAACATTCGATTCCCCTTTGTTCATCTACTACTACTCCAGGAATGAACGTTAGGATCAAAACAGGGAAAACAGGGGACTGTTGTCATTCTGAAATACCTAAAACAGGCCAGTTTAGAGAAAACATCATCGCCTTCAAAGAAGGAATTTCTCCAGACTTACTGCTTTATTCTCCTCCAGGAAGTATACTAAGGCGGCTGGCTTATCTGGCCATTTATTTTGCTTTCTGAAATAATACTTTGGAAAGATGGCTTAAAGAGTTATTTGAACTTATTCTCATTCAATGTTCAAAATGTCTATGACTGGCCATGGTACAGGATGATCAAATATTAGAGCTGGAATAAATCCCCCTGATTATCATGAGGCCAAGATAATCTTGCAGAAGGAAACGTGGTCCAAAAAAGTTAGGCAACTTGTTTAGAGCACACAGCAGGAAACCCAGGACACAAATCTAGGCCTGCTGGCTTCCTTTTTTTAATCTACCACTTCCTATAATAAAAACTATTTTTACAAAATAACTTTTAAACAAGATAATCCATCGACTTTAGCTCTTGTGAGTTTAATATGTTAATTTTAGAGAATGTGGGAAATAGAAAAAGGAAACTTTTTAACTAGGAAAATTTGATAGTAGTAGTGAATTCAATAAGAGACACAATAGTTTAAAACTGAACACTGGTTATATTAAAAATACACTTTGCCTACATAATTTTAAGAAAATCAATGCATTAGAAGTTTATATAAATAGATAAATGGTATTTTTAAAAAAATAGTAAAAGGCTGTCCATTTGTCATGTAAACTGGAAGGAAATATAAGGAAGTCCATTAGAAGTATCAAAACTGAAACGTGCACCCAGTTAAAAGAACATTTTAAAATACATTTAATTCAGATGTTTTGGTTGAGGATTTTCTCTGCTTCATTCCAGACATCCCCAAAGGAGAAGAAACTTGAAACTCAGAAGGACGGAAAATAATAAAAACAAGTAAGTAAGGAACAGGAAAAGGTGGGGAAAAGGCCATTTGGAGGCCCGGGACCTTCGAAATAGTGAGAATGAGAGAAAAGCATGCTACGATATTTGCAAACAAGGAGGCGATGATGAATGGAGAACAATGGGGATGTTTAAAGAGGGGTCAGAGAAATTAGCCTGAAAAAAAAGTAGGAAATGCCTATTTACAGAAAATATTTTGAACCCTAAATATATTTATATTTTAGGCTTTTAAAAATACATATAGTTATACTTCGGATATTCTCCTTCTGCTCCCTCCTAAGAAAGAGACTGGCAAGAATCCATTTCAACAATTCCATGCAATGAGAAGAAAATGAACACCAAAGATATAAGGGGTGGTTTGTCGTTTAGACCAGTTGAAATGACAATTTTGAAGCTGTTTGATAGGAAAGGTCCTGTTACAAATGTTTCATGCCCATTTAAATTCTAGCCAATTTTCAGTATGGAATAAGTTCTTACAAATGAAACAAATTAGGCAATAGATATGAATACATAATTTACAGAAGAAGAAATACAAAGGGGGGATGAAATTACTTGATGCATCACTGAGTTATTGAAGAAATCCAAAAAACACAATGAGGCCGGGAGCAGTGGCTCATGCCTATAATCCCAGCACTTTGGGAGGCAGAGGCAGACAGATCACTTGAGCTGATGTCAGGAGTTTGAGACCAGTCTGGCTAATATGGTGAAACCCCGTCTCTACTAAAAATACAAAAATTAGCCAGGCGTGGTGGCCGACACCTGTAGTCCCAGCTACTTGGGAGGCTGACACGGGAGAATAGCTTGAACCCAGGAGGCAGAGGTTACAGTGAGCTGAGATCATGCCACTGCACTCCAGCCTGGGTGACAGAGCTAGACACCATCTCAAAAAACAAACAAAAAGACACAATGAAAAAATTTTTTCCCCCATTACATTGAAAAATATTAAAAGGTTGATAAACTTAGCGTTGTTAAAGATGTGGCAAAATCAGCAATTGCCTGCACTAGTGAATAGCAGTGTGTGAATGCATATGAAAGTATAATACTATTTGACATAACAATGGGTCAGTTATAGACATTTACCCTAACTAATCAGAATTTATAAAATAAATTATGCTGGTACATCTATGCAATGGAATACCACATAGCCATTAAAAATGATTATTCATCAACCTATAATTGTATTCATGACATTGTACCAAATAGAATAAGGTTACCAATCAGTATGTATAGTATGATCACTTATATAAAAAACTGTTTGTATAGGCACAGAATGTCTAGAAATTCACTAAGATATTAACAGAGATACCACCTCTGGGATCTCAGGGAATTTTTTCACTTTCTTTTATTCCCTACATGTTAGTATTGGTTAAACATTTCACAAAGAGTAAGTCAGTTTTTACAGTTAAAAATAAACAACAAAGCCAATTTTGTTTTAAATATGTTATCCTTCATGGAGGATAAAACAAGTGCTATTAATTAATAAATGGTCTAGCAGAACTCTACCATCCACTCCTTTTTCTGCCCATTTGTCTCTGCTCAGGATGGATTAAAAACAACCATGATTAAATAAAATAAAAATGACACACAGAGTCTCTCTGTATCATATGCACAGGAAGACAGGGGATTAAACTCCTTAAAAAGAAAACCCCACATTTTCTCCTTCATTAACTTAATTTTCAAAGAGAGTAATTAACATGCTGCAAAGTTATTACTGATTTGTACTTCAAATCCCTATATGCTGTAGTAATTGTGTTCTCAGAAGAAAACCGGCCAAATACTTACACAAATTCAGACACAGTTTTTACAAGCTGCCTTGATAGGCAGATTGGAAGTGATGAAAACTTTCTGAACGTGTAATTTATCTAGTGTAGGTGTTTCTTGAAGTTACTTTAAGCAAAAGCTGGTCTTAGATTAGTCTATTCCCCTAAAATTTCAATAACTTCTTTTTTTTTTTTTTTTTTTTTTTTTCCTTTTTTTCAGTGAATCTATAGGCAGGTCTCTGCAACTTTGAGTACCTTATAATTACATTTAAATAACTTTCCTAGTCTTTCAACCAGCTCCTTACAAGATTATCTATTCACCCAGTGGCAGACTCCCCACATAAGCACTATCTAGGTAATGTAAATGTACTTACCATCATTTTTCCCATTCTCTAAATCAGATGTTAATAACAGAAGCTATTTTTTCCTGAAGCACACTTCTCTTTCTACTCCCTTAATAGAAATCAATCATTCCTTTATCAGTGGCAACCCATAATTTATTAGGTACATTTAGAGGTTTACCATCAAAAATGATTATGTAAGAAGTCTTTCCAAAACTTATAATGAAGCTGCAAAAGACACAGTATTCAATTTTTACTACAAGTACATCTTTGCAGCATGCACACATACAAATCTATAAAACACAGATAGCTATGGAATAAAATGCTATCACACATAGTTAAATCTTAACAATTCCATTTCCCAAATAACAAATCCCACAAACCTTTAGTTGTTCATCTACTACTCTTGTAACTTCTCCAGCCATTGATTCCAGGGTTTCCTGAATTGGACTGGATAACAAGCCACTAGCTCCCGCCCAAGATGCACCACCAACATGGTATAAATTTGGTAACAACTGTAAGAGAAATAAAAAAAAAAACCTCTTTATAACTGAGTAAATATTTCAATCAAAGCCATTGCAGAGTGAATGAGAAGGGTGAAGACATACTGTTAGGCATAATCTCTTCTCAGTCAAAGGCTCTTTGCACGGATTAATAAACTGATATCCAGACTATGGGCATTCATTTTTATTCAATGAATCATGGCAACCCTAAGAAACACTAGACTGGGTATTAGGAGACTTTCACATTGACCACTTCTGTCATTAAGCAGCTTTGAAACCACAGGAATAACACATTACCCGCTCATGTCTTTTTTTTTTCTTTTTGAGATGGACTTTTGCTTTTGTTTCCCAGGCTGGAGTGCAATGGCACGATCTCGGCTCACTGCAACCTCTGCCTCCCGCCTTCAAGCGATTCTCCTGTCTCAGCCTCCCGAGTAGCTGGGATTACAGGCACATACCGCTGCGCCCAGCCCCGCTTCGTGTCTTAATTTCTTTATCTGCGGTATGAAAGCTGAGCTGCTTTTACTTACAACACTTCTGTCACCAAAAGTGTAGGTGTTTGCCACACTGGACAAGTCTCCAGTTCTCCGCATACGCTAAATGGGTGTCCTACAAACCTATTCAATTCAATTCTGACACTGTCTACCCAGAGTTTGCCTCGGATCCCAAAAGTGAAGGACTCAGTCTCACCAGACTATCCCCAATTCAGATGGCAGTCACAGGTCCCAGGTTGTTACTGGTACTTCTAACAAGCCTTAAATTCAAGGGGCTCCCATAAATCCTTTCTCAGGTTCCGTAATTTGCTAAAATGACCTACAGAACTCAGCCAAGCATTTTACTTATGATTACTGGTTTATTATGAAAGATACAGCTCAGGAGTAGCCAAACAGAAGATGTATAGGGTGAAGTACAGAGCTGGGGGAGCTTCGGGGGCACTCTCCAGGTATACAGCCCTCCCAGCATGTTGATGAGTACATCAACCCAAAAGTTCTCTGAAGACTACTGTTTAGACATTTTATGGAGGACCCATTACATAGACATGACTGATTAAATCATTGGCCATTGGTGTCCATTCAATCTCCAGCCCCTCTCCATTTCCAAGGATCCCAGGGGATGGAGCTGACAGATTCAGTTCACTAATAACATGGCTGGTTCCTCTGGCAACCTTCCCTATCCTGCAACTTTCTAGGGGCACAGGAAGAGTCACCTCATTAGGATAAACTCTGGTGTGATGAGAGGGGCTTTTCATTAATAATAAAGATGCTATTATCATCTCTGTCACTCAGGAAATTACAGGGGTTTTAGAAGCTCTGTGCCAGGAACCAGGGACAAAGACCAAATATTATAACAAAAGATGCTCCTATCATCCCTATCACTCAGGAAATTACAAGGGTTTTAGAAGCTCCATATCAGGAACTGGGAACAAAGATCAAATATACATTTCTTATTGTATCACCAGAGTATCTGATTGATCTACAGATTCCTCATACTCATGACATTCAGTGATTGTGTGATTCTAACAGCAGAACCAAAACCACATCTCAGTTTTTCTGACTCACAGTTAAGTCCTTGCTCTACTAAGTCACACACTGGGAACCAAAGTCTAATGTGAAAGAAACTTCCTTTTAGAGGCAACAGAGGGGAGTTTCATGTTATCAGCTTAGAAGCAGAATCATTTTAAATGAGCTGTTACTCATTTAAACTACAGCTCCCTCTCAGTTGTTGAGGGCCCAATCACACCCTCTGGAAATCACACTGGCCCTCTGCTTTTTATTCTGTATCTTGATTATTGGTAATTAGCACAGGTACAGAAAGGAGGTCAAGGCTAATTCACTTCACTTTGCCACTTGTTAGTAAACTTGGAATTGGGTAGAGAGAGAAAGAAAGTTGAAACTGGTTTCTAAAACTAAATTTTATTAAACGCTTTTATTACACCAGACTCTCACACAGCCTGAAGTGAAACTCACCGTTTTAGAGTTCTTAGCATCACGCATGAGCCGCTCTGCTGATTTTAAATCTTCCTGGATAGCATCTCCCCCACAATTTCGTAAGGAGTTGAGATGATCTTGTACTTTCACACATATTCTGTCAATCATCTGCTCCAAACCAGAAAAAGGCAAGCATCCAAGTCAGCCCCGCCGATATTCAGATAGAAGGAAACACAGAATGAAGGAGTATGAAAACAACTTCAGCAAACCACAGAATGCATGAGGATGAAAACCTCAAACCCTTCTAACTGGAATCGTTGAGAATGCTGCTTATACGCAATTATTAATTAACTTTATTCATGCAAGTAACCTTTGGCAACTGTAACATCAGAAAAAAATTGAAGGCATTTCAGTTCCCTTTCCTGCCTTAGGGAATGCAGCACCTAGAACAAAAGTGAACACTTCTTGATGATTCAGAAGCTCACTTGGCGACATTTTGCTAGATACTAACTCCTTCATTAACTTTCAGTGAGCACCCTCTATGTGTCAGACATAGAGTTAGGTACTGACGAAACAGAGAAATAAAATGTGCAACACTGAGACTGTTGCAATGACTATAAAATGATGCCCGACAGTCAGTTGGTCTCAATACTATAGAAACCAGAGTATCTCTTAAAAATCGGTATTTTTAAAATTGATTCAATTACATCAAGTATTTTTCTTTGTAAACTAAGAGCTACCAAAAAACAAAAACAAATTGAGGTTTTATTAAACTGACATAGGTAATAATAAAGTCAATATCGTCTAATTTACAGTAAGATGCCTCCCCTGCCAGGTTAATTGCACCTAAATCATTCTCAACTGTTTTACGGATATAAATACAAAACCCAATGGGAGATGGTGGATCCCTATGGTAGACAAAAAATATTACAAAAGGTAAGATTATGCTCCTCTATACTTATACAAAAAAGCATGAAGGAAGCCAAGAAGTCTGAAGAAAAAGATAACCACAGTGTGGTTTTAAAAGTGTCTCCAATATTTTCGTCAGAGCTGCCGGTTGTCTATTTATTTCATGTTCTTAAAAAAATTATTCATGCTTCAAAGACCTTACATGTCAAGAGTCCCCTTCCATCTGATAATTCATTTGACAGAGGAGACAAACAATATTCTTTTTTTAGTTAACTTTGCACTTCTCTATTTTGAATTATTTGATATCATAACTATAGGAAACTAAAGTCTGCCCTTCTTCCTCCATAAATTTCAAAATGATAAAGAGACTTTTACACACTATTCCGAAGACTTCAAGTCTGATTACAAAGCCCATGTTTACTTGCTGCAGCACTGCCATCTCTCTTGCCTTTTTCTTTGTAAAGTCACGTTCATAATATCTACCGCACCTTCTTTACTAGTGTGTTATGAAGACAATTCAGTAAAATAACACCACTCAAAGCACTTATTACTGATAAAGGGCCAGTAATGCCAAAGTTCATGTATAATAAAAACAGCTCCTATTGCTGTAAAATATATTGAGGTTACATAAGTTAGTATCTTGAGATCCCCATAGGAAAAAGAAGTTATATGAATATTGCTTCTCACATCAAATTCTCTGCCTAAAATCCCTAAAATTTAAGATAAGAAAGTTATGATTCCTGCCTATGATTGTAGGCAGAAATCATATCTTTCTGCATTTACACAATGCCCTGAATAGAGCTAACTTTAAGTTTTTAAAAATCTTAATTGATAGAAATCATAACTCTTCTAACTATTGTATTGATCTGTGCTTCCTGAAGCAAAAAGGGTCATCAATAATTCATATTTTACAAAGAATGACTGCCCAATTTCAAGAGACAAATAAGCCACACACTAAGAAAGAAATTGATATACATTTGGGGCCGCAATAGGCTAATTTGAGAGGCATGTGGATGAGGCACTATAAAGCTGATATCTTTAATCACCAAGAGAGACCAAAGATATGCTTGAAATGTATGCATTCACCAAAGAGAGAGGGTTTACAGGAACTTAACAAAAACGGTCTTTAAGTAGAACATTTTAAAATGTCATCCAAAAGAAAAATCAAAATTAAGTTCTTCAATTCAAAGGAGACATAAAAATCTCACGTCTCCAAGATTCTTCTGAGCATAGCTCAACAGACCACATGTAGATCCTTTACCATGAAAGAGCTCAAAGCTCAGAAAAGGTAAACTATTTAAGATGACATACAATGATTACACAGAGTACAAATTGAAAATTTTGAAAAAAGTAAATCAAGGGGTTTATCAGTTCATAATTCATCTCTCAAGTACATAAATATGAAAAATAAACGAGATGCAATCTGAAAGGCTATAATCTCTTGGGTTACTCCGTTAGAAGACCTCATAGAAGACGGTTGTGTTAGGGCTGTTTAGTTTAACCTCTCTACTTCACCCTAACCCTATAGTGTTCAGTTTCTCTAAAGCTACACAGAAAAGTTGTTGACTGCCATAGTTTACGAAGTTCAATTCCTTCCAAGAAAATGTACCCTGTCATTCCCAGACATGGTTTTGAGTCTCAATCTGTCTTCTTACATCCATCCTGCAGTTCCCATATCTTCCCCTTGTGAACACCCTGCACAATCATATGATCTCTTCCAGTGACAGTCTTGCACATATTTAAATACACCCATCTTTTCTTCCTTAGCGTTCTTTTCTTCAGGTTTAACATCCCAACTTCTTTTCCCATGCCTACACTGACACAGTTCTGCAGTCCTTGACCTCCTTTCCTGTAAGTCACTTCTGTATTCTGTCTTCCACCTAGAACCTCATGAAGTATGCCCTCCTCAGTGAAATGGATTGTAACATAAGAGTGGACTGGTAAGCACAGAGCTGAGCTTCCTTACTGTAGAAAGTATACCTTCATTAATACAGTACAAGTCAAATTGGTTTCTTTGGCAACTATGTCACACCATTAACTCATATCATACTTGCTGGTGACTACCTAGGCTTTTTCAAATATACTGGGCTATTGAACCCACGTGTAAGAATTACAACTATTAGCAATAAATGTCATCTGTTGTTGCTCACAAGTTGATACAACTGATCTTACTTCCAGCAAACAGCTTATTCATAGAAAATGTTATCACTCTCCACATCTGTTTCTTTATTCCATTCAATAGAAATAAACTGAACACCTGGCATAGAGGAGATACAGTGTTGAAAAACGTTACCCCTTGCCATCAGCAACTTAAAAACCTAGAAGTGGGAAGAAATATTGACAATTAATAGTAACGTAAGACACAAAGTGCTACATAATATAATATCCACAAGGACATGAACATTTTATTTTCTTCACTGCTGAATTCCTATTTCTTAAGATAGTGCCTGCCATATCATAGACCTTTACAACTGTTTATTCAATGATAAATGAATGATATAAGCTTTTAAAAAATTTTAGCCAAAGGAGGAATCACACCTAGGTGAGGTTAAAAATAACTTTTATTTATTTATTTTTTTTTAGCTGAGTCCTGAAAGATTTGTACAGATTGAGAAAACAGAAGGGATTGTTAAGCAAAAGAATGAACCCAAGCAGTGGTACATCCAGACACTATGACTCCTATCTCCTGGTTAGGAACAGAGGCACCTTATAGTGGGAGATCAGATTGGAATCTGGTAGGATTCCAATATAAGGTAGGATATTATAGCACTCTAGTGCAGGCTAAGAGGTTGAACATGGTGTCCAAGGCACAGAGTGCCACTTCCCCAGCTCTCCCCCACAATTGTGAGCTCTAGAAATCCCTTACCATAAAAACATTTATGGTGGCTCAGCTTCCCTGATACAAAGGGCATGGGCTGTGGAAAGCAGGAAGAGACACGGAAGATGAAAAAACTAGTTCTTGCAGTTCTTGTTAAAAAAAAAAAAAAAAGACGTAGAAGGTAGTTAGTAAAAAGACCTTAGCAAGAGGGCTGGTAGTAAATATAAAAACAAAAGAAGTATCTTCTGCAGCCACTGGACAGTATATAATGGGTAATGGATGGGGAAAGCAAATGAAGAGTTCAAGATGATTCCAAAGGTTCAACTCTCAGTGAATGATGATGTTCCTGAGTGAAACGGCAAAATCAAGAGTTCAAAAGGATGAGTTTGGTCTTAATGACTGGTATCTCAGAATGCCAAAGAAGTGGAGATGCTGAAAAAAATAAGTGGCAAGATAGGGCTCTCTGGAAAGAAACAGGGACTGAATGGTTAGATCTAGGAGTCATCTACAGATGAGAGTTTTAAAACAGAAGTAAACAGCCAAAGGAAAAGAACGCTAAATACAAAGCTTTGAAAAAAAAATCCTGCATTGCGGATATGAAAAGAGAAAGAGTTGTGTAGAAAGCAGAAGGTAAGACACAAGAGTGGCAGAACATTCAGAATGGCACATTGTCCAATGAACTAAGAATTGAGTTTTAAGAAAGATGAGATGGTCCATAATAATGATGGTAACTGTAATAATAAAAATAACAGCCCAAAAAAACCATTAATGTTTACTGGTAAGAAGCCAAATACTTTTCAAGCATTATCTCAGTTACTCTTTACAGCACCTTCATAGATGGGTACTATCATCATCCCCAATAAACAGATGAAAAAACTGAGGCTTAAAGAGGTTAGTAAGTGACTAACTTAAGTTCGTACAGATAGGGAATAGCAGAGCCTGGATTTACGTCTGGGTCATCTGACTTGAGAGCCCAGATTCTTAACCATAATATTCTGCCTCCTTTTATCAAGAGACGAAGAAGGAGAAAAGGCCCCGGTACTTTGTGACAAAGAAACCAATGAAAGAGCCATTTCAGTAGATAAAGAGGGACAGAGGCCATTTTTCAAAAGGTTGCAGAGTGAGTGTTTAACAAAGTTAGGACTGCAAATGTAAAGATGTGCACATGAAAGAGGAAAGAGAATATACCAAGCAAATAGCTGTAAGCAGTAAAGCCCCCTCCCCCGCCTCCTCTTTCTTTCTCTCCTTCTTTCCCTCTTTCTTTCTCTCCTTCTTTCCCTCTTTCTTTCTCTCTCTCTCTCTCTTTCTTTCTTGGTGAGAAGGCTAAATAGAAGAGCGTGGCAAGTGGCAGGCAATTCTGGGCCTGTTTTTATAACTACGGTTTTATTGTAACACTCATTCATTTACATATTGTCTGTGGTGGCTTTCACCGTACCACAGCAGAGTTGAGTAGCTGCAACAGAGATCCTATGGGCTCCAAAACTAGTAAAATATTTACTGTATGGCTTTTTACAGAAAAAGTTTGCTGAGTCCTAATTAAGAGGCTTTATCATCTGGAAAAGAAGGTATCAAAAACGAAGGTAGAATGTTGAGTCTTACAAAAATATTTCCTAATCAAAGTCACCAGACAAAAACAAATACAAGCAGTTATGAGACTTCAATATTTCATTAAAACATTCTTTAATGCCTTTGATGTCACCTGAGAATGATGACTGAGAATGATGGCTATTAAGTTGGCAGGGGCATTAGTCACAGAGGGTTTATCCTTTCTATATTCAGGTTTTTGGAATCTTCAAGGTAAATCTCTCCTGAAGTGACTAAAATGATTAAAGTCTAAAAACTGCTAATCATAATGTCCTAAGAAATTCCCAAAGTGTAAAGGTGGCAATATACCTACTACATAATGACTCAGATAATTCAGAATAATGCCATCTATGCAGAATTAAACATCCACCAACTGCTCTTGTGTACAATTTTCTCTCAATTGATGAAACGTACTTTTAAAAATAAGCATTAAAGGGTGCTGCTGTAATTTCTTTTGGATGGGCAAAATCTGCTCTGAATTAGGGGTAAAAAGTTGGAAAGATATTATATTAAGAAAAGAAAGGCTGAGGCAGGAGAATCGCTTGAACCTGGAGGCGTAGGTTGCAGTGAGCCAGGATTGCGCCATTGCATTCCAGCCTGAGCGACAAGAGCGAAACTCCGTCTCAAAAAAAAAGGAAAAAAAAAGAAAGAAAAGAAAAGAAGTCTTGGGCCGGGCACGGTAGCTCACACCTGTAATCCCAGCACTTTGGGAGGCCATGGTGGGTGGATCACTTGAGGTGAGGAGTTCGAGACCAGCCTGGGCAACATGGTGAAACCCTGTCTCTACTAAAAATACAAAAATTAGCCGGGCATGGTGGTAGGTGCCTGTAATCCCAGCTACTCAGGAAGCTGAGGGAGAAGAATTGCTTGAACCCGGGAGGCAAGGGTTGGCAGTGAGCCGAGATTGCGCCACTGCACTCCAGCCTGGGTGACAGAGTGAGAAGTCTTCATTATTGTAGCTCATAAAGGAACACAAGACAAAGTTTCAATGTAACTATCATTGCTTTTCATATTAAACACAAAAACCTGTTAATAATAGTAAACCATAAAATACTAGGCTAGTATTAGTTCTTTGCAGGAAAATAAATTAGATTTTTAAGGGACTGGTAAGGTCAAAATAATGGCTTTCTTTATCAAAAGTCCTGCTACTTCACCAGTACAACTTTTCTTCTCAACACATATTGGTTTACTTTTTCTTGCTTAAACAATGCATATTTACTGTAAAACATTCAAACCATACTGAGAAGTATAAGAGAATAAAATACACCTTTCATATCACTTAAAATAACCATCATTAATATTGTGACGAACACTCTTTCACATGTCTCTATGCCTATCTATATAGTCATCCATATTTTACCTAATTGGAATATTATACATGACATTTTTATTATGGACATCTTTCTTTCATTCTCTGTTAAGAAGCAGCAACAGAAAATTAAATAACATTTTTAACAAGGTAAGAAAATAATGTGAGTCATTCAACATGGTCTAAAATGACAAAAATTTCCCTACTAGTCAATTCTTTTCAATTTGCAGAGAAAAATTCTTTTTTTTTTCCTAAAGCCTCTAAATTTCTAATTTCTCTAATTTCTTCTAAGCTTCTAATTTCTCTAAAGCCTCTGCTCCTTTAATTCCTCTGGTGGCTTCCATTTTAAATTTAAATAGGATACTTATTTTTATGTTTTTGATTTATGAATTATAGAAAATAGCAGTTAATTCCATGAAATAAAAACTAAACATTTAGCATACTTACAATACCATTCAACTTTCTCCCTCTTAAACTTACAATTTTAGTATCTTTCATTACCTTTACATTATTGTGATTTTCAACATTTACAATCTGTTATGTAGCAATAATTAAGACTGCCATTCAGATGATTAGAGACTTAAATGTTAGACCTAATATCATAAAAACCCAGAAGAAAACCTAGGTAATACCATTCAGGATGTAGGCATGGGCAAGGACTTCATGTCTAAAACACCAAAAGCAACGGCAACAAAAGCCAAAATTGACAAATGGGATCTAATTAAACTAAAGAGCTTCTGTACAGCAAAAGAAACTACCATCAGAGTGAACAGGCAACCTACAGAATGGGAGAAAATTTTTGCAATCTACTCATCAGACAAAGGGCTAATATCCAGAACCTACAAAGAACTCAAACAAATTTACAAGAAAAAAACAAACAACCCCATCAAAAAGTGGGCAAAGGACATGAATAGACATTTCTCAAAAGAGGACATTCATACAGCCAACAGACACATGAAAAAATGCTCATCATCACTGGCCATCAGAGAAATGCTTGTCTAATATTAAAATTTTAAACCCTCTAAAATGTAGTTATAAAGTTGTGATTATGGCTGCCCCAGAGAAAGACATGCCAATCCCATGTCCCTTAACCCCGTAGCTCAAAGTAGATTTTCCCAAAGCAGCGATTTTTAAAAACTTTCTTTCAGCTTGTAAAACTTCTACGATTTCATATCTGCTATCATATCCTATTTATACCTCATATTGCATACTTTCCTGTTTGAGAATTTATTCAAGTAACTTTTTTTCATATATGGAATACAAAGGGAATAGATTTTCTGAGTTCATGTCTGAAAACAGCTAGGTATATGATTCTTGGTCCAGAATAAATCCATTTCCAAACTAAGAAGACATTACTTCGTTTACATATACTAATTGGGATTGATGCTAAGAAATGATTCTAGTTCCCTTGTAAGATAGCCCATTTACTCTTTCTGGAACTTTTTTTTTTTTTTTTTGAGTCAGAGTCTCACACGCACTTGGCCCACTGCAACCTCTACCTCCCAGGTTCAAGTGATTCTCCTGCTTCAGCCTCCCAAGTAGCTGGGAGTACAGGTCTGTGCCACTACGCCTGGCTACTTTTTCTTTTGTACGTTCAATAGAGACAGGGTTTCACCATGTTGGCCAGGCTGGTCTGAAACTCCTGACCTCAAGTGATCCACCTGTCTCGACCTCCCAAGTGTTGAGATTACAGGCGTGAGCCACAGCATCCGGCCCAGAACTCTTTAAGATTTTTTTTTCTTTATTCTAAGTGTTCTGAGATTCCACCAAGATATATTTAGGTGTGGATCCCTTTGCCCACTCATTCTGATCAATTCTAGTGGGCTATATCAATTCCAAGACTCATATGAAATGGTTTTCTATTATTTTCTGTTCTCTAATATCTCTCATTTTTATAATAATTTTGAAGCTCCATTAGAAGGCTGTTGATTATTCTAAGTCAATTAGCCACTTCACTTACTTTGCTTTCCTATTTTTAATCTTTGTCTTTTTTATTATAAGCTATAAAGATTTGCTCTACTTTTTCTTCCAGAGGACCAGCTTAGTTTGGTCCTATCAGTTTATTTAATTCTGTACCAGAGTATCATAATTTTAATTGTTAAGCACTGTTCTTATTCTCTGACTACTCCTGTTCATAGCAGCCTATTTTTATTTTATGGACATATCATTCTCTGTAGTCCCAATGAACTTACAATGACAATTTTTTTTAAAGCTCTCTGCTGTACTCTGCATTATCTGAGCTCAATTCCTTTGTTCATCTTGCTCTTTGACACATAAATTGCTTTCCTCAAATAGCTTGTGATTTTTGGTTTTGGTTAATTTTTTGAAAAGAAATATTTCACATTTTTTTGAAATTATTATAATTCTGTTTCCTCGGTAAAGCTGGGTGGAGCGAAGAGGAATGCAGTATAAGAGAAAAACACCTCAGTTTCTCTTCAGCATGTGTTAATTAACACTCATCAAACTTTTCTTCAAAAGAATCTCGGAATTTTTTTTTTCTTTTTTTAATGAACCTGACATTGTCAACATAAAATCTGAGAATCTGTATTCTACCCATGGAAGTGTGAAGGAATAAAGAGAAAGGAACAGAATGTCTCCAAAGTAGCAAATTTGATCACTTTCAGATTTTGTTATCTATTATAACCAAAAGTTCCTAATATTTGTATAGAAACCTATCTTACTGGCAATTGTTGATTGATAATTAAAAGAGCATATTTAGCATTAGAATTAGCCTACCTTTTCCTCCTTCAGTATCTTCCCTAAAACTCTACTTAGATTTGTTGTCATTTTCAAAAACTAGTTCTTATTGACCCGTTGGAAATGATTCAAACGCTAGAAGTCTTTTGCTCTCAGAGGGTCAGTTAAGAACAGAAGGAGAAGTCACAAGCACTGGCTCGCTTACCTGCTGGGTGGTGCTGGTGACAATACCCTGCTGCAGGCGGTAAGCCTGCTCTTGAAGGTATTTTCTAGTCTCGTGATTTCGTAGCAGGTAGTTTTCTATCTGGAAATAAAGCACAGGTATCCCTCAAGAATACATTTCAACCCAGCAGAGAATAAAGTACAAGTGAAACAGTCAGTTGCTGAACTTAAAAAACAAAGCGCTAATACACACATCCTGCCAGTGCCTTGACCCCACAAAACACATGGGATGGAGAAACTGGCTTTCATTGTGAGTACTGGTGGTTTTAGTTAGAGATTCAACTTGCAGGTAATTGGAGTAATTTTTGTGTAACTCAGTAGTTGAAAAAGATAAGCAGGTTTTTAATTGCCTGCAGGGTCAGAGACCCCACTTCGCGACTTTTCATCACTTTCAGCACACAACCTCAATCCTTCTCTCACATGAATTTTTAACTACCCAACAGTTCAGAAGTTAAATAAATATCCCCAAGGAATAAGGGTAGTGCTCTCTGAATCTCTTATAGCCTTATTCCAGCTGTAGAATGTATCAGCACTTAGAAAATTCTTTATTTTAACGTAAAAAGAGACAGAGAGAATCGCTAATACATTTGAAGGATACAGGCTGGTACAACTCAAAGACATATACTAATTTCATTAACCCATCAAATTTTCATATTTTCTCAAAAACAGGACTGAATTATTAAAATTATAGCAAATAAAAAATGGATTTCTGTATTTTTATACATAGATTATCTACTACGAAAAATTCAAAGGTACAAATAACTAGATTAAAATAAGCATTCAAGAAGAACAATATGTAATAAATAACAAAAATGCAAGGTTAACTATTAAGAATGATAGGTACTATAAAGACGTTTTTAAAGGAATAATCTGAGGTTGGTAAATTTTGTCATCTGTTTTTTAAAATTTGTTCTTTTTGTTTGTTTTTAATAACATCACTTAACCATTTGGCTTTTAATTTGTCACAGCAGTTCCCTGGTTAAGAACTTCTAATAACTGCGAAACTCTAAGTATTTTTACATTTTAATTTTTATTTTCCATATGCTAAAATGACTACTACTTAATATCAATTAGAAACTATTAAAATACAGACTATAATTATGATCATCCCTTGAAAATATAAAGCAGAACAAAATGTACCTTTCCATTATACATAAACGAAGAAATTATAAAAACGAAAAGATACCTGAAATGAAACATCATTAAAGTGACACATTAATGCCTTGACAGTATATTACATTACTTTCTCTTGCTGCTTCCCAAGAAGTCATCTCTTTCCAAGGTGACATGACTATCAGTGCAAAATATTTTGCCGAAAAGATTCTTGCCTGAAATATATGACAGGCACACACCACCATCCAGCTTCCGGTCCTTTTGCTTTATCAATTCTTATACATTTGGCCTCACTGCAGCACTGGCTGTGGCCGGCTCTGAGATAAGTTTGCTTTTTCAGAAGGCTCATCTCACACACAGGCAGCGCATCCAAGGCTGGCTCATGCCTTCCAGACATTTCCCCAGATGCACCAGTGGTGCTTTATAGACTTAAGCCAGGAAGGAATTTTTTTTAAAAGTAATACTCTAAAGCTTGCTTCTAAAAACCAGTTCAAAAGGAAGAAACAGTAACAATTTTCAAGTGACTTTAATATCAGGTCTGTATACACCACCACCAAAATTATTTGCATCTTAGATTAATAGGGTAAACTTTGCTTGCATGTACCATTTCAGACTAAGGACAGAAAATCCACCTCCTGAAGGACCAAAGGGGTCATTATCATGTTTACTGGGCTCCCCTGGACAGTTGAGAGCAAGCTGGGAGATAACCTAGAGCTAGTTAGACATCGCTGGTCCCACTGCTGAAAACAGAGCAAGAAGCAAAAATGAAACAAAAAAATCTGTATTTTAGTTAAGGAATCGTGTGTGTGTGTGTGTGTGTGTGTGTGTGTGTGTGTATTTAAGATTGAGTATTGAATCACAGTATTTTTTTCTTCAGTAGAGTAAAACTAAATAGCCATTTTTTTTCCAGAAGACAAAAATCTACCTGTTAAAATAAAAACGAATATATAAGAACACAGCAAGTTTTACAAGAAAAACCAATAGGCTGGGCGTGGTAGCTCACGCTTGAATCCCAACACTTTGGGAGGCTGAGGCAGGAGGATCACTTGAGCCCAGGAGTTGGAGACCAGCATGAGCAACGTAGCAAGATCTCATCTCTACAAAAAATTAAAAAACTAGCCAGGCATTATGGCTTACTCCTGTAGTTCTAGCTACTCAGGAGGCTGAAGTGGCAGGATCACTTGAGCTCAGGAATTTGAGGCTACAGTGAGCTATGACTGCACCACTGTACTCTGGCCTGGGCAACAGAGTGAGACCTTGTCTCAGAAAAAAAAAGAACAGAAGAGGAGAGGAGAGGAAAAGGAAATGAGAGGTGAAGGAGGGGAGAAGAACAGGAGAACGAGAGGGAAGAAGAGGGGAGGGGAGAGAAGAGAAACCAATAAATACAAGCTTTAAAATCACCTATTTTTTTTATTAACAAAGTACAAATGTTACAGTTAACATATCTGCATACTTTGTCCTGAATGTCCATTTTCTGTACCTATTTTCAATTTTCTGGCCTCTCAATTATGTGTTAATATAGTAGGATTCATATCTACCATGTTTGTAACTGTTTTCTATTTATTGCATTTGTTTTGTTTCTTTAAGCATTTTGTATGGTTACATTTCTCTTCTCTCCTAGTTTATCAATTATATTCCTTTTAAAAAAGTTTTTAGTGTTTGTCTTAGTGTTTGCAATATGCATTTATAAATGATCCAAGTCTACTTTTAAATAATGCTATATTGATTCATGAGTAGTGTAGGTACCTTAAAACATAAGATTGTCAGTTCCTTTTCCATCCTTTATACCACATTCACCCAGTCCATTGTGGTTATTACTACTCTGAAAAAACAGTCATCTATTATATCAATTCATAATAAGAAAAATATATTACCTTATTTTATTCCCTCTGATGCTCTTCCTTTCTTTATGCAGATCCAATTTCTAATCTGTATCATTTTCCTTCTCCATGAAGAACTTTTAACATTTCTTGCAAGACAGATCTACTAGTGCTATATTCCCTCAGTTTTTGTTTATCCTAGAAAGTCTTTATTTCTCCATTACTTTTGAAGGATAATTTTCCTAGATACAGAATTCTAGGCTGCTGGGGGTTTTTTGCATCAACACTTTAAATATTTCACTCCACTTGCTTCTTACTTACATGGTTTCTGACAAAAAGAGTAATTCTTATCCTGGTTTCTCAATACACAGGTGTTTTTTAAGTCTACATTCTCTAAAGATTGTCTCTTTGTCGTTGGTTATCCACATTTTGAATTTGCTACACCTATGTGTGCTTTTTTGGTATTTATCCTGCTTGGTGGTCTCTGAGCTTTCTGGATTTGTGGTTTAGTGTCTGTTGTGAATTTCAGAAAATTATCAGCCATTATTACTTTAGATATTTCTTCTGTTCCTTTCTCTCTTTACTTTCCTTCTGGTATTCCCATTAGCTGCAAGTTTCATCTTCTATAATTATCCCACAGTGCTGGGATAGTCTGTTCTTTTCTTTTCTTTTTGCAATTCAGTTTGGGAAGTTTCTATTGAAGAATCTTAGAGCTCAGTGATTCTTCCCTCAGCCATGTCCAGTCTACCAATAACCTCATCAAAGGCATTCTTCATTTTTGTTACAGGATTTTATCACTAGTATTTCCTTTTAATTTTTTTTTTCTTAAGAGCTTTTATCTCCTGCTTACATTACCCATATGTTTTTGTATGCTGTCTGCTTTTTCCACTAAAGCCCTTAACAAGTTAATCATGGTTATTTAAAGGATCTGATAATTCCAAAACTAGTATCATACATAAGTCTCGTTCTGATGCTTGTTTTGTCTCTTTCACGCTGTGCTTGTTGCTTTTTAACATGCTTTGTAATTTTTGGCTGAAAGCTGAAAATGATATATCTGGTAATACAAACTGAGGTAATCAGCCTTTTAGTGTGAGGTTTTATATATTAACTGGCTAACAGCTGGGCTGTGTTTAGTATTTGTTGTAGCTGTATGTGCCAGAGGCTTTGATTTCCTCTAGTGTTTTTGCTTTTGTATCCCGTTATTTTGGGGTTTCCCTAGAAATTCTTTCTTAATTACAATCTGTGTCTTGCAGTTTGCTCAGTTGTAATCCACTGTTATTTTATTTGATGTGGTGATAAGGTGTTAGGAAGGGGAAGTATTCTATAATCTTATGATTAGCTTTTATTTGTTTGTTTGTTTGTTTTTAAGCAATCCTGGTCCCTGGGCTATGGCCTTCAGAAATATTTCTTATCCTTTTTAACCCTATCCCTTATGTGAGACAGAAAGGCTAGAGAGGGAGGGTTGTTTAATTATCTTTCCCCTGTTCAGGTAAGATCCTACTAAAGTGGTTTCTTTGGCTGGTAGACCTTTGTTATTTAGAACAAAATGCTCTGAGTATATTTCAAAATAGTTATTTTCCTCTTCCTCCTGCCAGAAAAAAAAAGGAAATTTCTCTCCAATCTTGACTGCGATAGCCTGATGGGACTCATGGAAGTAAAATCCATGAAAGGGTGGGGGTTCCCTAAAACTGGACCCCTAGGAGTTTTCAGGTCTCAAGCTAGTCTATGCTAAGACTCTGGCAATTCATCACTTACTGTTTACATGCTCCTATAAGTTATTATTCTACTAGCCTCTGCTCCTGGCTATCTTGGCTAGGATTCACTGTGATTGTCTGCACCTCTCTTTCCAGTCCCCAGTTTTCAGGGTGATAGTTTTCCTTGTGGCTTAAGTTCTTTGACAGATCTAAGGAAAGTCATTGATTTTCTGTTTGTTCAGGCTTTTTTGCTGTTGTGAGGATGGGAGTGATATCTTCCAAGCTCTTGAGAGTTCAAATCTGAAACCAGAAATCTGGTTTCTCTAGAATATGTCATTCTTTCAAAGCTGATTAGTATCCTATTGGAAATTATAAAGATATCTAATATTTTTATGTAGCTTTTCACAAACTCCTTTTCACATATACTGTGTCACTGGATCCTCATGGTCACCTTA